CGCGCGACGATATTTACCTCACGTAGACTCATTCGCTTCACGCGGTTCAACGGTTACTTATATTCGCCGACGTGCCCGGCGCGTACAAGTTTTCCAATTTAAAGAAGAAGCGAGCTTTTCCTTTATGACGATTACTTGCAGATCCTGTTCGCCACTCTCGTCGGCCTTGCGTGGTCCGCGCCAGCGCCAGCGCCAGCGCCGGCACCGGCACCGAGACCACTCACCCTCGTCACCGAGTTGAAAACTCCGGCGTCAACCGCCAAACTCACACCGCTGGTCGCGCCGATCGCGCCAATCGCTACACCAGTTATTGCACCGCTCTCCCGTCTCGCCTATGCCGCACCCGTTCTTTCACAGGTAGATACAACAAGTCAAAAAGTCAAAGTGCATATCTTGGCGTTCGAAAAACGACTCACGCGCCGCGCAAAAACGTTCGATTTCGAAATATAGGATCATCCACCGAACCAGGAGTGGGTTACCGATATAGCTCCAATTCAAGAATCGAACGTTTGAGAATTTACATTTAAAGAGTCGATTTTTAATTTATATATATATATATATATATACTTGTAAAACTTTTTTCTTTATACCGGGATAATGTAAGAAAAAAAGTCAAAGATGAATAAAAGCGAAGAGTGCTATAAAATATTAAATAACATTTAATGTGTTCAATACATTAAAAATAAGCGAAACTAGCTTCAACTTTACAGAGTCTTCTTCAGTCGCATATAAATTACAAGAATTAAAATTCCATTATACTTGACAAGTCATAATTTTGATTTTAAAATTATAATGTCGAAAGATAATAATGAAAAAAGTCGCGAGTAATCATAAAAAAATTGACAAAATGAAAAAATTAAAGTTACAAATAATTCATAATCTGCTGCCGCGCTCTTATATTCTGAAGAATCTTATGATCTTTTCATTATTCCAATTAATATAAAAAAAAAAACGCAAATCTTTGATTATATTTTTCGATTACTCAACATTAAATTACAAAGAAATACGGTAGATCAAGATATAATTTTTACATGGATCGCTGAGGATAAAGAAGGAGGAGAAAAGGAAATTTTTTCTGTTTCAAAGCTTATCGTTTTCTGTGATCGAATTGCGTTGGAAAATCAAAATACAATTTTTTATCACGTTTCTCGTTATTACTATAGGTATCGCCATACGCTTATTATTCTGCACCGATCGCGGAGATCCCGTCGAGTTACTCGATCGAGCAACATGGGTACCATATTACCTACTGACCGCAAAAATCATCAGACCGGTAGCCGTCGACCTCAGTAAAGCCCGTGTGGAAGTATGCGTAGCAGCTCGCAGCTTGTCTCCTCATCGATAATCATCTTCTATCGTGTAATCTCATCCACGCAAAAAAAAAGAACTTGGTGAAAGTCGACGTGTTTATTTTCTAAACCCTTATTTCCATCTCCTATACCTTCCTCAACAACCTCGAAGAAATTACGTAGTCATAGCCGATCCTCGAATCTTTATCTTCTTTAGATTCTTTAGGTTCTTCTCGAGAAGGAATTATTAAGAATTTTTCTCTCTTAAAAAATTCATATAATTTTGCGTTATATTATATGCATTTTAGAGCTTTAATCTTAACACGCTTGAACGCGAAGTTATTGTCTTCACGTGAAGTTATTATCTTATGTTATATTCGCTGCATCGAATTCATTTGCATTCCGGCGTAGAAAGAAGAAAACGTAGAAGGATATCCGAATTGGGTCAAGACAATTCACGCGCGGTTTAGCGCGGCACGATCCACGACACGAAATTCCCAGTGTTACGAAAGGCCGCGGAAAATCCCTGTTACGTAATGACGCAGTGCGTGGTCTGTGAAAGGAAATCGACATCGTTGCGATCGCCGTTGTGATCATCGATACGTGACAAGAAAAGAAAAGTAGGTCGCGTTGAGGATTTCAGGTCCCGTTTTAAATTTGAGTAATTCACTCGACGGCAAAAATTGAAAATTTTCATGCGAAAATTCTTCTGAAATGGCGAAATCGTGTAATTTCCTCGTGGCAAGAAACTACGGGATTCGATTGGATGAAAAAACTTCCGAGACCTAAAACGGATGAGTTCATTGACACGCTCCCTTGGAATACACGCGCGAGTACTTTCTCCCGGATCCTATGAGAGCTTAAATATTTATGGGATACATCTAGCTCTCTGCATTTAAGCCCTAGCAGCCACATTTTTTATGCTACTTTTTATACTATCGTAATCTTTCTGATCAATGGCCGTAATATTCATTTCCTCATAACGAGACGGAGGCGTCCCTTGTCGAAGTGCGCCTCTTCACTTTCTACCGAGAGTGAAAATCATTATATTGAACTCGATGATCCATGAAGTCAAGGTCGATGCACCTCACGACCGGCACGACCATGAAAAGAAAGTATCCGGTTTGGTACAGTTGCTCGAGTGTAATCATTTATTTTGGGAGTTGCGAAATGAAAGACTCATAAGAAGAATCTTTCTACATAATTGTGAATGCCAACAACACGATTGTACAACTACTTAAATTAGAGTATAAATCGATTAAAGGAATCGATATTATAATGTTGGTCAATGGATTACCGCGAAAACGATAATGACCGTAAATTTATAGAGCCTCTTCGGAGAATACAGTTGCAACACCAATATCAAAGTTTCCTCTTGTCGAATCTTAGACAAATTTATTATTTATTTGTGAGATAACCTCGAAACCCGACCCAAATAAATTGACGTAATTTTATTAACGACAAGTATAAAATGACGTAAAGAATAATTATGTAAGGTATAATCAGGGATGGGAAAGTTACTTTGTAAAAGTAATTAATTAGTTACAGTTTTTCTCTTTCAAAAAGTAATTAATTACCGTTACAAGTTATCGACTCTGAAAAGTACGAGATAACCTCGAAACCCGACCCAAATAAATTGACGTAATTTTATTGACGACAAGTATAAAATGACGTAAAGGATAATTATGTAAGGTATAATCAGGGATGGGAAAGTTACTTTGTAAAAGTAATTAATTACAGTTACAGTTTTTCTCTTTCAAAAAGTAATTAATTACCGTTACAAGTTATCGA